ACGTGTGTACAGCTATATAAAAATATACAGATTGTATATATTGCTGTATACAGACCGCATGACAGCCTCATAACAACAACAATATAAATAGATACATACATATATGCATGTATTTAAAATGATATTTAAGCAAAAAAGAAAACAAAAAAAATAAATAAATAAAAAAGTAATAATAATAATAACAAAATGAAAACAAAAAAAAAAAAAAAATTAAAAAAAAATGAAAAAAAAATTTAAAAAAAAACTATAAGAGCAGTTTTATAAAATGCAACGTATCGTATCGCATCAGTTGCATGCTCATTATATTTATCTGCATAGTTATGATTGTTGTTGTTGTTGTTTTTGTTTTGTTTTTTTTGTTTTGTTTTATTGTCTCCGTCTGCGTGTATTAATGTATGCTAATGTATGTATGTATGTGTATGCGTTTAATTGTTATGATTATGTCTCGCTTATATGCAAGAGATTTGATCTTTCAAGCTGCGGTATCAACGTATTAGTGCGCACATCTCTTTTGTATCTATATATATATATATATATATATATATTATATATATACGCCCGAGACAGTAGAGAAATAGTTTTGCTTTAAAGCGGCTTTTAATTGTGGTGAAAAGATTTATTTCATTGTTGCACTGAATTTATGGCTTTTAAAATAATTTTTGCAAGTTGTGCTTGGTTTTCTTTCTACTTTTTTTATTTCTTTTTTTTTTTTTTTTCTCCCTTACATTTTGTTGTTGGTGTTTCTCATTTGTATTTATTTATTTATGACTACTACTGGAAGCTCGATTGTCAGTCGGTGGCATAAATGTATGCGAATTCTGTAAACATCTACAGGCGTATAGACGCTCAGAGAGGGTGATATGATGCATACAGACGGACGGACAACCAAAGAAACAAATGAAGAAATTTAAAAAAAAAAAAAAGAAACCAGAACAACATTGCAAATGACAAACGTTAAGTAATAAAAATTATTTAAATGTTTTCAACTACGCCTGGCTCTCTGACAGTGCGTCTGCCTGTAGTTCTCTTAAATTTAGTTTCCGTCCTTTTATGTGAATTATTATTAGTTTTATCGGCCCTTCTTATTAATTTTCTATATTTACATTTTCTGGATATATTTCTTCCCTTTTTTTTTTTTTTTTTTTTTTTTCTCTTCATTATATTAAACATCGCGATTTTATCAGCGCAAAAAACTTTATAAAAATATTCGCCGGTTAGTTAAAGTGTAAAATAGCTAAACGCCGAGATATTATTTACTTTCGCTAATATTTGAGATGGCTCTTGCACGTACTTTTAAAATAATGAATGCGTCCTTCCTGCGCAGACGTCTAAGAAAATCTTGGCTGTGATCAGAATCACTTTAATCGGATTTTTCGTAATCAATTCGGATATTTTAGAGCCTATGAATAATCGAAAAGTGTCTTCCTTGAGATTAATGCAAGTGGCCTGGAGGCACTAATGCGAGCTAGACAAGAGCTCTTCTGGTTTTAAATTTGTTAGCGGGACATTCAACAGCACAGAGTATAATGAAAGTCTTAGCTGTGATAAGAATCATCTCAGCCAGATTTTTCGAAATAAACTCAGATATTTTGTTTAGAGATATTTAACAGGTGGTTAACTACGACTAATTTAAAAGCAACGCCATCGAGTTTAGTAGGAAAGGATCCAGGGCACACTAATGTGAGTGTGTCACAATAAGTGTGTATGTACAGTCTTTAACTTAAGAGTCTTTGGGAATTTTTACACGTTACACGTTAAGCCTTGATGAACAGAAAATTTATATATATCATATGCCTGAGAAAAGACCCATGAAAGAGGGGGGTTTCCTCATTATTAAGACGATAAGGACCACATCGCTGGAAGAGCTCATGGCCATATCAGAATTGATTCGGGGATTGGAAAAGCGCTGGCTTAAGTGTATTATATATAAGGGGGATTACGTTGAAGAGGACCAAATATTAAAGGTACTGATGGGTAAATCAATATTTTGCGAGAAAATTATAATAGTCAAGCCTCGTATGTTATACGCTATAAAATAAATGGTTCGCATTTTTAGATTAAAACCTCGAGGAAATAGTCATCACTTCCATGAGACAACAGTTTGTTGTATTCTTTCGTCAATACAAAATCTAAAACAATCTAAACAATCTAAAGGAGGAAGAAGAAAATTGAAGATAAGAAAGAGAACAGCAAAAAAAAAAAAAAAAGAAGAAGACACAGGAACCAAAGGGTATGAAAGGAAATAACGCATTCCAAAACCAAACCTCAATCCCAATACTAAGCAACTAGCTATTCTCATATGTCATGATGCCGGTTAAGTCATACTATAGCATTTGTGAAAGGTGGGAAATGAAAAAAAAAGACTAAAGGTTGCATTGCTTGCCAACTTATTCAAACATAATTACGTTTGAAAAATTTTGAAAAATTTGGTACAAATTCAATATCCCTTCAATCAACGCGATAACACTTCTCTGCCTTATAGAAAACTTGTAAAGTGTTTGTGGGGAACGTTTTCCATCAAAATTAAGAGCATAGAAATGACTTGCTTTCTTCCATACGAGAAAATTCGAATCTACGATAAGTCGAGCAAGACAAACGCTGCAGAGCAAATTGTTGAGTAAAAATCATTTGCTTAAAGCTGCACACAAAAAATATCTCGATATTTGAATACCAGATGTAAAAATGTTGAGAAAAATGTAATGATAGAACGGATTGATTGGCTAGCAAATCGTTGCTGAAATAAAACGAAATCGAGCAAGTTTTCAAAAGATCGATAACAGACGATGGAAAAATTGTTCCCACAAAATAGCTACTCATCCAAGATGGTTTAAGTTGTGAAAACGGTGGCAAGGCCCGAATTGATGCCGCATAAAGAAATGAT